GGAGGAGGAGTCCTTCCTGTCATTGGCAGCGCCTTTTAAAGGAAAGGCTGTGAAAACCAGGCTACTGTCCAGGAGATGGCTCAATAAAAGCAGCAGCACCAAACACTTAAAAAGGAGGTGCACACACACACACACCACACACACACACACACACACACACACACACACACACACACACACACACACACACACACACACACACACACACACACACACACAAGCTCACTTAAAAAACAGAAATCCTAGGACATATCCTCAAACCTGCGAGCTCTTACACAGTTTTGAAGCTTATCCTGCATTTCCAGATGTATTGCATAAACCTGGGCCAAAATAGCATAAAATAAATCTTCAGGAAATCCGAATTCACACTCAGCTGAGCCTGACAATGTGTCATTCAAGGCAAGATTCAAGACAAAACCTGGAAAACAACATTCATGTAATATTTTTTTTTTCATGGTCATGGAGCTTTGTCCGCAGAGTGTGGGGTGGGGGGTGCGTTTACGGGACAGGTTGTTAAATCTGGGTTTGTCCCTCCCATTCATCATCATACATACAATACACCCTTTCTTTTTTATAACACCACAGTCCACAAAGTCCACAGCTCCCACCTCCATACTGGGCACCATGAATAGGCTACGACACTGGGAGCCAACATGGCTTCTCAAACACATCTTCTTCTAATAATTTTCCAGTTATGGTTTTGTGCCGGGTTAGACTTTACCTTTACAAGTTTTATTTTTATTTTTTGCATTTTGGCAACAAGTGTGTAAACCTTCAGCACACTGTAGGATATTTGACAAATAGTTTAGTAGACATGTAAGATGGTCTTATTATTTCAGACTGAAATCTGCCAAAGTCAATACAATGTGGTGGAGACATGGTTGGAAATTGCGTCACAACAATCAGAGACTCACTGAAGATGTTGATTAAAAGCAATTTGATTCAGGAACAGTCACCGATCAGCATCCTGGATTGGTATTTTAACATTATTTTAAATAGGCTCAATCTGATCTACTCATCTACTATCCATCACCTACAATATTTGTTGTGTGCATTCCCAACAGATGAGTCTGTAGGCGTTCAGAGTCAAAGGTAAATGTCAATGCGCAAACTGTAACATGATTACTGTGAATAACCAGTTTACAGTAATAATTAGATTACAGTGTCTGCATGATTCACAGTAACTAAATAATCTGACATGACTTGTTTATGACGAGAGAGCGAGATGTGTTTCTGTAGGAAATGTCTTGTTGATGTCACAAAAGAAAGAAAGAAAGAAACAAAGAAAGAAAGACAGAAAGAAAGAAAGAAAGAAAGAAAGAAAGAAAGAAAGAAAGAACATAGTGAGACTGTGTTTGTGTTGATGAATTAGGTGCAAATGCGACTTGCAGGGTAGGTTGTAACCTGAAACCTTCTCTTTTTTTCTGACCACCTAGCTTGCCTCTGCGCTGTTTTTGCACTGAAAATCAGCTTTGCTTTGGCATCTCTGGGACACTCTCAAGACTCAAAAACACAGAAAGAAAATCTCAAACTAATGTGTAAACATTTGCAGGTCCAAATGTGTAATTTTTTTATCTTGACAATTGATCTACTGTTTACAAGAATTTTAATTTCAAGTTTTCATTGAACATATCACACACTCACTGAACTTGAATTTCCAGGTTCACAGAGGTTGTTTAGGTTTTACAGTGTAATTTCTTCCTCACCAGGGCTGAGAAAGTGACAGTGTTCAAGAAACACATCCCACGGCATCTCAAGAACAAACCAGTATTTCATGACCCAGTGACACAGATTACCTAATTAAATACTGATGCAGGTACAGCCAAAATTAATTATTTGAGCCACAAATTCAACATACAGACACCCTAAATATAATTTATCTCATAAATCAGGCCCATATCTTCTGTCATTATCAGCTACTGGCAGTAACAGCATCCCCATTGTGTCCTAGCTGGCCGCTCTCCTCCTATGAGATGATATGATGTTTGAGGTGCATTGTTAAACTAGCTTTGAAGAACCCATTTAAAGAGAAGAGGGTGCCAGAGAAAAAAGGAGATTATCACTGAATGAAGAGGAGAGCATTTCCCCTCAAGGCCTGAAACACCAAGATACAAAGAGTCACGGAGGGGTTTAATCCCAAATCCAACTTCATCCCTCCACTCCTCTTTCAGTCCTCTCTTTTAACTGCCCATGCCCCTACACACCGCCTAGTCTCTTAATTGACCCTTTGTAATTGTAATTGAATCATTAAAAGCTCTTGGTTACACAACGCAAGGCGTGTAAGCTGAGCAATGTGTGAGCAAAGAATAAACACACACACACACACACACACACACACACACACACACACACACACACACACACACACACACACACACACACACACACACACACACACACACACACACACACACTGATACACACTACTGGAAGGGAAGATCAAGTGTAGAAAGAGGGGATCCTTAAAAGAGGAGAAAAACAAATGTCACATAAAGGAGAAACCCCCACTCCAGAGGCAGTGACAAGAGAGAGAGTGGACAGAGTTTGGCATGTCCCGGCTCCCTTTAATGCCTCCTGACGTTGAAACAAAGGAAGGCAGAGAGGTGCTGAACTGCCTCACATAAAAAAAAAAACACAGGAAAAGATAAACCCCCCCCAACAACACACACACACACACACACACACACACACACACACACACACACACACACACACACACACACACACACACACACACACACACACACACACACACACACACACACACACACACACACAGAGGAGAGAAAGATTGTGTCAAAAAGACACAGAGACCAAAATGCTCTGAGGAATTTAGAACCTTTGTGTCCACCAGCTAAATGTTCACTGAAAGCATTTTTTATTCACTCTGATCATCTATGCAGCAGTTCACGGGATCTCACATTATATGGACCTTATTTAATAATGAAAACAGTCAAATTGTTGACATGGAAGGACCATAAGCAAAGTATTCAGTGTCAAGGGGTCAGTGGCGTATTTTCTTCCCATGGGGGAAATTAAAGTGATGGTGATGTAGATTTTATTTGCTTGAATTCTAACAGTGGCAAATGGCTGAGACCATAACATTGTCTAGTTTTACAGTCACTTAGTCTAAGTAAAATTATTGGAAATTGGAAATATTATAATAAACAGTTAAAGTCAGTTACCTGATCTCCCTAAGAAGGATTAAAAATAATAGTCTACAAGCAAAACCTTTCTTTAATCATTTGGTCTCTAAAATGTCTGTTGCCTGTTGCCATTTGGCTCAATGTGACGTCTTCGACAGAGAAGAAACAACTTAAACAATTAATGGATTATCAAAATAGCTGCCATTTCTTTTTCTGTTGATTGATTAAACAATAAATCAATTCAGCTGCAGTGGGATTCCAATCCACCAGCCCAGCCTCTTGTTTGAGTGAAAAATGATGAAATAAATACAGGTTTAGCAATAAATAAGGGTAAGTAACACCTCAGGGCACTGCCCATTGATATTAACAGGTCACCCAAGAGACAGAAAGGGGCTGAATCCCCCTAAACTGCTGTGGTCAGTCAGTGAACATCTTCGTTTCTTCAGTCCATGAAATAAAAAACAACATGTACACATGTCGTTTCTTAGTGGATACTGGACCTGCAACCTCCACAGCTAAAACATAAAGACACTAAGCTGCTGATTCTTCTATAAAGAAAAGATGATTAATGAACATTTGAGGACATTTGTCTCTCGGGCTGGCATCTGGCGAAGCTCCTTAGCGAGTTGAAACAGGCCCTGCTGTGGTGTTTGTCATCCTGACTGCTCATCCATCATCATTAGCGAGCACTGAGGACTTGACAGTGCTTGATGCCCTGGTATCTAAATAATTACTGAAGATAAATAGACTCAAGGTGCTCAGCGGGGACATCCCAAACCATTTAAGAACACAGTGGAGAGGATGTATTTTGAAAATACATGTTGGAGGGTGCTGAGGCTCTGTGACACATATGAATAGACTTCAGCAAATGCGTTTCTATAGATAGATAAAGTCAATGTTTGATTTTCCAAGCCACAAAGCCAAGTGTAATCCAAGAGTCTGAAAGTGGACTCCATGACAATGACAAAAGATCTGCTTATTATTATGCCAGATAGAATGTATTTTCCTCATTTATCTCTGCTGTGTTTGTCTGTGTGACTGTTCCCGTGTGGCGGTTAGGTCTATTTTTTACACTGTATAATAGCCTACCTGATGCAATCTGTGCCTTGTCTACTCAGGTCTTTTAAGGAGCTGTCAAAAGAATGTCTAGCCTGTGCAGTTAGGAAATAGGAGTGCTTATATGTCAAGCAATTCATACTTTATCCTATAACAATTGACATCTTTTCCTCTGAATAACACTGCTAAAATTAGAGTAACTTCCTCCTTAAGTGTACATCAACATGAATCAACTCTATGTATAGTAAAAGACTGCTCATACGGGGAACTGACTGTCCACTCATTTATCTCATGTAAACTATCTGTTTCTAGCTAGTTTATTGGTCACATCACCACTATGTGATTTCAAGGCCCATTTGCCTTCAATCTGTCAGGGCTGCCTCTGTTTGGACGTTGGTGGTTGTTGGTTTCTGAACACATCGCGGGTCAGGTCCCCGAATTGTTTAAAAGAGCTGTCAATCATGTGAAGTCATTCATAAAGAAAACAAACACGATGATGTATAAATATGCACTCCCCAGCTCACTCACTCACTCTCACAAAGCGCACTAAGCACATAAACAAACAAAAAGCGGGGTGAGAATGGGTACGTAGAATCGAAAGGAATCTGACTCTTCCTGTGGAGAGAGCTCTATGATAACAAAACCAGGACTCTGATAAGAACACACACACACAGACACAGACACACACACACACACACACACACACACACACACACACACACACACACACACACACACACACACACACACACACACAGCTGCTCTTTTCCAGTCTGATGTACAGGATGGAGTACTCAC